TAAATAAAAATCACATCATGATTAGTAGAGATCGATCTTTGATCGGGTGAGTGGGGTGCTCAATTCATGACCTTCCCCTTTCATACCTAAGTTCTCGAGCCGAGACACTTTGGTGATAACAAACAAGTGGCCTTTGGCACGAGTCACGATATAATAACCCCGATCCGTAATTAGCCACTAATCCGTAATTAATGATGCTAATGAGAGAATTAAAATAAATTATGTGTTTATTCTGTATTTTGCATGATATTTGGCTTTCTATCTGTTACCTGTAGAAATACCTGTTTGGATTTTCCGCTTTAATATGTAAATTGAAAGCCTTATCGGCATCCGAAACCGAAATTGATTACATCAATATGTTATTTGGAATTTTTAGAACATTGTGGCAAATTTTATTAAAAATTGATTTAGAACGATTAATTAGGTCGCATTTGGTTAGCCTAATGTCCCAATTAATGCATTATATCATCATAACTATATATACATCACATTTAGCTCTTTTGAGCTCATTTCCCTTCATTTCCCTTGAGTGGAAAAATCTGAGATTTCATCTTGAGAGAGAGAATGCAATTCTAGAAAGAGGGAATGAGAGATTAAAGAAGAAGTTAAAGATTTTACTAGAGTTCATCAATTTTGTGCAAGAGCTAGACTAATTCAAGACTATAGGTATGAATTCAACTCCTAAATGTATGAATCTAAGTTATTAACATGTAGATTGTGAGTTTAAATGTGTATATTGAGCCTAGGATAAAGATTTGAGTTACCATTCATACATGCATGCATGGATACATGGAGTTTTGACGTGTTAAGTTTGATTTTGGGCATCTATGTTGTTATCATGAGTTATTTGGCACATGCATGTGTAATTCATCATATTTTAAAGCTTAAATCCATGTTTTGAAAAGGATTTCCCTCATGCATGGAGCCTTTGAGCTCAATTTACTAGTTTCATGAAGTTTGAAGAAAAGATTTTACATGCATGTTTGTTTCTTGAATTTCAAGTTGAAATTGTGAGTTTTTAACAAACCCTTGGGCCATGATTTTATGAAATGATCCTAAATTCTTCATGTTTTACAAGTTTACTATGTTATCTCAAGTTTTGGGGCCCAAGAGATGTGTTTTGGATGGTTGAATTCGAGTTTTGAGCTTGGTGATCAAATCTGGAAATTCCAGAATTTGCATCCACACTCGAGCGTGGGAGTTTACGCTCGAGCGACCACTCTGAGAGCGTACACTCCGCTCGAGCGACCAAAAGTCCGCTCGAGCATGAATTGCAAGCTCCCAGAAGTTTCATGTCGTTTACAAATTGCTCGAGCGAAGGAAAGTGCGCTCGAGCGACCATTCTCATTTTGCATGTCCGCTCGAGCGAGAAAGTCTACGCTCGAGCGGGGACCTTATTTTCAGAAATTTTGCCTAAGTGTTCCAACTCATGTTTTGGTATCCTCATTGCATCTTAGGCATTCCTAAGCCTTAATTAAGCTTTGATAATGAGGTTATGGATTAGAAACACACTAAGAAAAGAATGTACCAAGTTCCGAGACTGCAAGTGTGTGTGTGTTTTAATCAATGTGCTAAGTATGAACAAGAACCAACGTAATGAAAGTTAAGCTGTGTTGGCCATGTGAACGTGTAATAAAGAGATATGTTGTGTTATGTAATTTTGTGATTGTAGGTCAACGTCTGAAGATTGATTAACCGTTTGCGAGAACCACTGTGAGTAACGTTATTGTAAAGATACATTTATATGAAATTATGTTCCAAATGACATGTGATAAGCTATGATTTCTGTTATGATATCTGTTTTACGTGAACAAACATCCCCAGTTTAAAATCTATTATGGCATCCATAGATAGTCCCAAGTCATGGGGGACGACATGAAAATGCGGGTCCATGACATACAAGTTTACGAGATCTCGTTAGCTACTTCCTTGTGGTGATATGTGTTTAATCGGTATCCGGAACCGGTTACTCTAGTCGGAAGACGTTCTGTGATGTGTTCTATGGGATGTACCATTATTATGTTCTGATATGAGAATGATTATGCTATGATCCGTTTTCTGTTTATGATATGTTCGGATTTCGTTCACTAACCCCTTTACCTTAATGTTATTCACTGGGCTTTAGCTCACTGTTTATATATATATATATATATGTATAGGTAAGCATTCCGGAGTTTAAGTCTGGAGACTTTTTGTCTGGATCTATGTTCGGTTGTCATCCAGCCATTGTGCCTCACGTGGAGGTTCCCGAAGTGTCCTGTGTTCAAGTTTTGTTGGTCCTGTATATCTATTTGACTTGATATAATTCTGTTGGCTGTACTTTAGTACTTTAATGTGTGTGGGTATAATGTATGATTGACTTTTGACTATGTATATAAAGTTTTAAATATTCTGTTTCATATAAGTCAGCAGAGCTCATTGGACAACTATATTTATGTACTTGCTTCCGCTAGCCCCCTTATTATATGTTTATTTGTTCAGAGGCCTTCGGTAATCCAAGGATTACTGGCCGGTTACGATGCTAAACCTATAGGGGCGGGTTTGGGTCGTGACACACGGGTTTCCTAAATTTTTCAAAAACATTTAGGTGGCGACTCTGTAATTTGGCAATGCTGTCCATTTTTTGCATTTTTGATTAAAATTGATTTTCTAAAAGATTTGTTGAATTTGAACTCATTTGTATTTATTTATTTCACATTGCACTTGTGAAATCAGATTCAGAACCATGAGAGTCTGAACTGTAGGGCTATCGTATCTGATGAGACTAAACCCCTCCGAGGAGCACGAAAAGCAAACTACATGTAGTTTATTCTCCTATTAGACTAATCTTAGGGAAATTGGCAAGAAACCAGGCTTAAAAGAGCCAAAAAGGGTCACCTACACTATGGCTAATTCTTTTGTCATGGAAGAAGAAAAGTCCTCTGTACATGTTAGCCAATAGGAAAAAGGCAAAAGCCAGTTGTTTTCCCTTTTGAATTAGGAGGGCAAAGGTAAGGTATTCTTTAGTGACCCTAAGGCCACCCATACAAAAAGGAATTAGCCCAACCAGCACAAGTAGAAGGCAATCCTCTCAGTGACTAAAAGGATGCCATTTTTTTTAAATGGTTTGAAATGAATTTATCGTAGTTGCCTATCTTAACGCCATGCTTAATTTCTGGGGTTTTGAGTAGGGCATGGATGTCTTGACCATAAGTAAGAAGACCAGTAAGGTGCATGACATCAAGGATAGTGAGGGAGGCTATACTAGATTTAAGCATCATAGAATTACAAAAAGTATACCAAGAACATGTGGTTACGCCAATAAGCTAAGGGGTCTATTTCAAACAGAATGGTGAACAATTGAATAACATAGTAAATGCCCAGCTTATACTATATGTCCCCTTCAAAAGTAGTCATTCTCTTCACCCAAGCTACTCACACGTCAGTTGGTTTGGGCCATGACCTAGGGCATGTCGACCAGTTAAACCACGAAAGTGAAGATTGGTCCAGAATGAGAGTCTTACCATCAGTAATTGGGACAAACCGTCTAGAAAGGTGGTTAGGACACAGGGGCCAAGTTCCCCAGCATCGGCAGTGAGACTAGCTGTAATTTAGGAGTCAAGTTTGTTCTTTTCGATGAGTTAGATAGCTTCATGAGGGAATTGACAAACTAGGTCAGTGTCTAAATCGGAAGACATGCCTAGAGAGCTTAGGGTTCTAAGGTTCAAGAGTAAATGAAGGGTTTGTTAAAGGGAATAAGGGGCAAAGAGGGAGAGTTTGAAAAGCTTTAAGTACTTTCGTATGGGGCCCAAGTAGAATAACAAATTGGATAAATTGGAAAGGGGCCTAATAGTGTATGGGCCTGCAGATTGTTGGGAGGCCGGAAAAGGTCAAAGAGTTTTAGGCCCAAAATTGGTCAACAGGGGTCTATGGTTATCAATAATCCCAGAATAAAATCATTCAAAGCAAAAGATTTTTTACCTTAAATGAATGGGGCATTATTGGTGCTAAAAATTGAAAAAAATTCGTCGACAGGTCACTAACGTGACAAGATTGATTAATGTGGCTGACATAGCATAAGGATGTGTTAAGAATGAGTTAAGAGACTCTTTTAAAAGGATAAGGAAGATAGCGGCAGAGAATCAAGGAAAAGATCAAAAGGTCAAGGAAATAGTTTCTAGAATGTTGGGATAGATATGCAGAAATGCAGAGAATCAATGAGGCTCAAAGCTACAAGTCAAAAGTCAAGTATAAAAGAGAACTGGGTATAGAGAGAGCAGGACACATTTAGAACCACTCACAAATCGTGAAGAAGTACTTAGGAGTAGTTTAAGTTAGCATTTTAGGAGTAAATTAGGTAATTTTCCAACCCCCACTTCTCTTCTTTCTATCGATTGTTATATTTTTCATTTATTTGTCCTTATTTAAGTTCTTATAACTAGTAACAAATAACAATTTAATTGAATAAATACATATTCTATTTCTTCTTTATTTAATCACCTCCAAAAAAGTACTAATCTATTTAAAACATATAACCCAACCATGAAAAACATAATTATTTTCTATGTTTATTTGAAAATTAGTCTTAAAATTTTATTAAATTTTTTTATCAAATATCTCATTTATCTAAGAATTCACAGGAGACCGCATGATGTGGTCCTGCATCGAGATTTAATAGAAAATTTGGTAAAAAACGATAGGTGTGTTTTGTTTGTGTTTGTAGAGTAGTTTTTGAGATAAAAAGTACGAAAATTTATTTAATTTGTCTTTTTTTAAAAATGGTTGTGGAAAATTGTTTTGGGGAGAAAGTTTTAAAAAAAGTGATTGATTTAATGTGTATGAGAGAAAAAGTTATTTTGAAAAGTAAGGAACCAAACAAAATTTTAAAATTTTAATGTGTATGAGAGAGAGTTATTTTGAAAAGTAAGGAATCAGACAAAATTTTAAAATTTTTTTTAAAAAAAATTATTTGATTTAATTACTATTAAAAAAAAATTTGTAATGAAAAACAAACCAAACAATCTGTCTGGTACCTTCGACGGAGACACCCAAAGGCCCTCTCTCTCTCTCTCTCTCTCTCTCTGTATACAGAGATAGATTCATAGATACATACGTATACCAAATCGAAAGCACGATGGAGTGGAAGATGAGAAAGAGGCCGAGAACGAGGTTCGACACGGCCATCGTGGATGTTTGGAAGCGAGAAGTCGGTGTGCTCTCCACCAGACACTTCGCTCGCCGTCTCGGCGCTTCCCAGGTCCTTTCTTCTGGATCCTCGTCATTCTTAACCATTTTTTAATATAATCTCGTTTCTGATTTGTTTATATCTTATCTTGTGTAAATTACCATTGCAATTTCGATTTTTTGAAATCTGTTTATCTTGTTTATTTACACATTTACGATGATCGCTTGGTCGTTTTTGCTGAAGGAGTATGAAGTTTAGTCGTGCAATCGATACGATTGATGCTAGATTTAAGTCGGGGTGTTTGTGTTTTTGTGGAAGAAAGTGTAGGAACATTTTTGTTTGTCTTCTCTTCTCTCTGATATTGCCATTGTAATTGTGACATTGATGTTTGTTTTGGTAATTTGGTGGGTGCTAGAAAAAGATTTGATATTGGGGCATTGCGGGAAATTTCATAGATAGACTCCCCAATTGTTTCACATTTTATGAGGGAAAATTATGTTTAGAATTTTATTTATGTATTTTTGCTTCACATTGTCATGGTGATTGGTGTGGATGTATTAATAATCTGTCCAGACATTATTTTCATAATCTGTCCATACAGTATTTTCTGCAATAATCTGTCCAGACATTGATGTTTGTCTTCTCTTCTCTGTAATATTGCCATTGTAATTGTGACATTGATGTTTGTTTTGGTAATTTGGTGGGTGCTAGAAAAAGATTTGATATTGGGGCATTGCGGGAAATTTCATAGATAGACTCCCCAATTGTTTCACATTTTATGAGGGAAAATTATGTTTAGAATTTTATTTATGTATTTTTGCTTCACATTGTCATGGTGATTGGTGTGGATGTATTAGCTAAAGGTTAAGATTGAGGCTTCTTTACTATCAGCTAATTAGTAGTGGTTGATCCTACTGGGACTGCCAATATAAGTTTAGATGTTTACTAGATTTGACATTGTCTTGTTCATCGAGAGCCCTATTTACAAACCACATTTCATTTCAAGGCACACCATTAATTGATTTAATTTTTATTACAATATTAACCTTATATAAAATGACCACAAACGACTAAGGAATGTGATACACACCTTTTGTAAAATTACCATAAAGGACTATAATGAATACAATACACACCAAGTATTTCAGACGTTATTTACATATCTTCACTATGAAGAATCCAAAAACCCTGAGACAAAAATCAAAAACCCTTAAAGAAACAACCAAAAATATACGTGTTATTGAAGTTTTTGATTGGACTGAATGATGGATGCATCTGATGATATTAGTTTGGAACAATAGAGTAAGAAAAAGGTTAGTTTTTCATTTTTTATTTTTTATTTATTTATTTTTTTCCGTTTTCGTTTACTTGCTGAGCGGTAAATTGTTTGTATTCATTCAGTTATCTAGAGTCGAACAATATACCCATGTTCGACTATCTACAACCGAACAAATTGTATATGTTCGATTTTATAGTGTTGAACTTTGCTTGGCTTACAACTCTTGTACCATCAGGAATTGATAATGTGAAGGGGCCATTATAAGCCTACTAGCATATTGTGGATTCTGAAGTCACTAAGGCCATCTTGTTCAATTTTGTTCAACACTCAGATTTCGAACATATTGAAATTGTTCGACAGACTAAGTTCTAATAGTTTACTTAAGTTCGACACTAAAATGCCGAACATATTGAATTTGTTTAACAGAAACACTCCTGACAAAAGGTTAATAGTCGACAGACCAGTGTAAGGGTGAAGATGGAAGATATGAGCGGGGTGTGTGACTAAGGGCAAAGATGAAAGATTGTGGTGTGTATTGAGTAAATTTTGTATTTATCAAATTACTAAATGTGTGCCTTGAGTAGTGGTGTGTCTTGAGATGAAAGGTGGTGTGTAAATTGAGGCTCCCTTGTTCATCAGCTTCCTTCATTATAGATAAAAAGTAGAGCAGGAATTTCTGAAGATCACAAAGAAATCATCTTTACACGTTTAGGCTAAAACTAGGGTCTGCTTTTCCTCTTGAAATATCCTTCTTCATTTTTGCAATGCTTCACAAGGGAGTTGGAAGAATTTTTACTTTTTGGTTCTTTCCTGATAATTTTTTTGGTACACTAGTGGGGAGGCAATGAACGTAGATTCTGGTTTAGATTTCTTAAAAGACGGCAATGTTTTTTGGTCTAATATTGCCCGGTTTGTTATAATATTAGTCAGTTTGTGGTAATTGGTGAACTTAGCTTTGTTCCCACAAATATTCTTCGGCACATTTTTCTACAGTAATACAGTTTATAGATATATATATGTTTTTGTTTGGATTGGGTCTTTGTAGTTTTTGTTCATT